ACAAAATCAGATATCTCCCATCCTGCTGTAAAGTAAATACTGACGTAAGACAAAAAAGCAGTATCTGGAGACTCTAAATGCCTCATACTTTGATTAAAAATGCTTTTGTCAATTACAGATTGATTTTGTAGCTCATTACAATGATGGATGTCAGGGCTGGCGGAGGTGGTATTTTACCACTTGGCCTGAGGGCATACACAGTTAGAAGAAGATGGTAAAATTATAATTATTTTCCAGCACTCATCCATTTGCCTACATTGACCCAATGGGTACCACTGGGATAATTTGAAAGAATGGCGTCAGATGGAATAGCCAAAAAGAATAGTACCTCAGGCCCTTTAGAAGGAAAACATTTTAGACAAATATTTCTCAACAACCTGCTGAGATTCTTGTCACATGATAAGTCACATTGAGCTACATCAGTTACGTTTTAAAGTAAGCTACAGTGTTTAGCAGAGGCTGTAGCAAATAATATGCAAATGTCTCTGTGTGTACTAATATGAATATTAAAAGTTTCTATATTAATATATAATAATGTAGGCACATTCTTCCAAAAACATAAATACAAATGTACTTTCTCCCTTACTTTAACACTGGAGGTTGTTAGAAGCTGTGAGAAAATCAGTGGATATAGGTAAAAGAGCTGCAGGGAAAAGAAATCAATATTCAGTAGCGGCTGAAAAAAAAAAGGAGGAAATTCATGTCACTTTGCAATACATTCATATCATGCTCTGAAGTGACCTGTATTTCTGGAGTCACTGTGTGGTTTCTAAACTCTGATACCCATGGTTAGTTCGCAAGGCATTCTCTAATGGTATCCTAGGAATGCCTACATTCTCTGTAATAGCTGCACGGCCAAAGAAGTAATATCCACCAGATATATAACATGCAAATCTTCTATGTGGTATACCTATCACCTGCTGCAAAATGATGGTGACTCAGCATTCAATTAAAAATATAAGAAAATCGATGTTCCATATTATGAAAAAAGATATTATGTAAGACTGATATCAGCAGTCTTAGGAGTAAGAAAAGAAAAAAAATCATTTCAAATTGAAGATTAGGAGGCCTGCCTACACTATGACTATAGCAATATTGGCTATATATCTACACAATTGCTTTTTATAATAGTCCACCATGAACACAAACCTATTTATGGCCTACTTTCATGGTGATATATCTCTGTTCTGCTAGTTGTTTAGAATCCCAATACTGTGAAATGGAACTGTGGTGACAAAAAATAATACTTCATATAATGAAATGTCAAGAAATTTAAGTTAAAGTAAGGTAATGAAACATAGGTTCAGGGCATAAAATCTGATCTATGCTTATAATCAAAGTGAAAATGGACAGCAGAACATCATTAGAACATCTGGATCATTTTGGAAACTGATTATGTTTGGCATCAAGGACCAGGATGAAATCTCATTTTTCTTACCTTTTGTATTATAGCAGTGGTAAAGAAAGAGAAGGAAAAGATGCTTGTAAAGTCTGGAAAAATATAATTGGGTTATATAGGATTTAAAAAAACCAGAAAATAGTCAAAAACCAACTTTGGGATATCCAAAGCATAAAAAAAATTAGACATTTAAAATTAACCAGAATTCTAGCTGTTAAAATGCTTTTAGACGGCTTATTTCTGTACCCAAGTGTCAATATTGGAGTAGAAGTGTGCTATACAAATTGTCTTCACCATGAACAATCCCAGGACAAGTCTTGCTGATGGGGTAAAATTTGAAAGGAGAAGCAACACTGTCAGCAATAAAAAGTGCTTAGCAGGGCCAGGTGTGGTGGCTCACACCTGTAATGCCAGCACTTTGGGAAGCTGAGGTGGGCAGATCCCTTCAGGTCAGAAGTTTGAGACCAGCCTGACCAACATGGTGAAACCCCATCTCTACTAAAAGTACAAAAATTAGCTGGGCATGGTGATGTATGCCTGTAATTCCAGCTATTCCAGAGGCTAAAACAGGAGAATTGCTTGAACCTGGGAGGTGGAGGTTGCAGTGAGCTGAGATAGTGCCACTGCATTCCAGTCTGTGCAATATAGCAAGACTCTGTCTCAAAAAATAAAAGGAAAAAAGAAAGAACAAAAGAAAGAAAGAAAGAGACAGAGAGAGAGAAAGAAAGAGAAAGAAAGAAAGAAAGAAAAAGAAAGAAAGAAAGAAAGAAGCAAGCAAGCAAAAATGCTTAGTGAAGCAATTTTTATTTTTCTATTTTTAATGGTCTCAGGCCTTTGGCTGCAAGCATTGCATAGTATCTATTCCTCAGGGAAAGATGACTTTAGGTACCATCTAAAGGCAAGAAGCAACTACCATTTAAGAAAAAAAAAAAAAAAACAGTCATCCTAATATTATACATATGGAAGGGGAAGAGTCTCCGTTTCTCAAATAGTAACTTGTTAAAGCCAATGGTCTTATCTACTCTTAATGTGAGAAGGAAAGAAACATGAGTGTAGGAAGTAGTGATATGGGCAGCGTTTGCTCTTCCATAAACTCTGGCGTTGGCAGACCATTTGATGGTTTCAGTGCCTTCTCTCTCCTCTGCCAATATTGCAGTTACAATTCTACTATACTTTTATACTCCTCACTCCCAGGCTTCACTTTCTAGACAACTGAATGCAGATGCGATTAAGTGTATCAGTGGAAATTCTAAAAGTAATACAGGAGAAGATTCGCTGCTGACCTAGGCCTTAGACTTGGTTGCAGGTAAGGCTAAAGGACCTTATATTCTGTCCTTTGTAGCAAGAAAACCACAAGACCATACCAAATGGACAAATGGGAATCATTTTTTTTCTTCTCTCATGGTTAAAACGTCAATAGATAATCCGAGACGTTTTGAATTCATGGTCTTAGTATCCAGAAATCTTTCTGCTGCTTGGTCCTTTAAGAGCACTTACCATGCCATATTTAATATCTGCTGGTCTCACTCTGCTTCACTACTTGTGATCTTCATGCAAAGATTCTAACATGGCTCTGTATGTAAGAACTAATATATTATTGGTTAACAGAAGTGCTCAATAAATGCTAAATGCATAAATTAATATTCATTTCAATGGCATTTTTTAAGTTTTTTTTTAAAACCACCTAAGTAACCACAAAACCAATTAAACAAGGGACTTACATCTTTTATTCAGAGTATTTTTTTTTTACTTTAGATTTTCAAGATATCTTAAAATATCTCCTGAAATACAAAATAGAAACAGAATTTAAAGCATATAGAAAGGGTATTAACAGCATTGACGATGATGACAATGAGACCATGAAACAGCAGATGAAATGATATAAACTGGTACGTGGTAGCACAGAAACAATTTGACAGAAACCAAGTTTACAATGAAAAATGAGAATTCTTAAACTCCTGCATTTCCTTTACTACACCTGAATTTGAGATCATTGTTCCAGTACCAGATTTTGCCTCACTAAACAGAGACTGTCACAAAACCTACTCAGCAATAGCCCCTCTAGTTGCAGTAATGGCTGGGCAAGTAATGAAAAGACTCAGACTATAGTTGAATACACCTGTGAAATTACTACATACCAGAAGCTCAGACAAACCATTTTCCTCCCTCTGTGTGTGCCCTAAAACCTGATTCAGAAGACAAGCTGACAACTTTTATAAGTTAGTAGCAAATATCTGCCCAATAAAATGACTACTTGTTGGTGTCACTGAAGTATTTGTTGGGGTAGTTTCAAACTTTAAGACCATTTGACCTCATCTGAACACAGGGCTTACTTATATGAGCTTGATGTAGTGTATACTGTACTCAATTTACTATACCAGTGAGTTGGTGACAGAAAACACAAGTCCATAAGAATCTCATTAAATGATGTAAAAAAAAATAAGAATGAGAAAATCAGTTAAATGAAAAGTATAAACCTGTATTAATGCACTACAATTTGTAATTTACCTTTGAAATATGCACATAACTTGAAAGCTATCGACTTAAAGGAAAATGGAAAATAAGGCTAACCTTGGCTGAATATGCCATAATCCAGTGAGGACACTACATGTTTATGTAGACAGCAGAATGTGGCACTTCCGAGTGGGGTCTGAAATCAGATTGCTTCCTTTCACAACTTACAAGCTACAAGATAGTGTACCAGTTAAAATTTTCTACCTGTGTTATCATCTGTTAAATACAGACAATATCCCCCTTCTCACCGGGTTACTAGGCACCTCAAGAAATGTCAGCTTTGTCCTTGATGGGCCAAGGGCAACACAGTAGGAGGATTCTCCTTCAAGGGCAGAGAATAAGGGGGTTATTTGCAAAGAATTTAAAAAAACAATTGTGAAATCAACAAAAAGTTGGTCAGCTTTTTATTATAAACACATAATAATTTATTCAAAACAGAGCCAGTGATAAAGCACTCTTGCACTCAGAGGCAGAAACTCCCAGCCACCACCTCTTAGCATATACCACTGAATTCACATGATAAAAATGTGCTAAGAATAACCATGCATTAAATAAAGGACATTTATATCCTTTCTAATTTATCATATCAATATAGTTTGAAATAAAACCTTAGACATTTGTAGAAAGACAAATAGTCTCTTTAGGTTCACTATTGATCTCATGTAGGAAAACACTATCACTTCCATGTTAATTATTCCTTGGCCATCAGTAAACTGCTATGCATCCAACCTTGACTCTGTTTTCTCTCTGCCAACTTTCAGTTCAAACATTTTCCTTCTGGTTTATTGAGATATAAAGAGGACAGACAATGTTACATTCATAAATTATTTTCAACTGCTAAGATAAAATGTACTGTATATATAGAGAACATCTCAAGCTATAGATAACAGAGGCAAAATAATGATGACATTTTCTCCATGAAACGTTTGACAGAAATAAAGGCATTGTCATCTATTCTCTCCTCTCCCATCATTGCCCTGTTAATTATTCTCAAGATCACTTACTTTTACTTGCTATTTTTTAAGTTGATGAGATAATTAAATTTATTAGCTACCCAAATACATTTAAAGTTTATTAAGACTCTGTGCTGCCTTTGAACTGGAAATAGAGAAGGAATAGAACACACTCTTAAAGAAATTAAAGTAATAAAGCAAAATGGGTACCACTTTATTTTAAGAACCCATTAACCAGAGCATAAGAGAGAAAGTCAAAATGGAAATCTCTGAGAAATGAACAGGTGAAACATATGCCATTCTTCCCACACAAGCATTAGTCTAGCAATCAGCCCATCCAGAATATATGTCAAAAACATTTCACAGGGGAATACTTAAAAAGTATATTTTATATTCTTAAAGATAGGGTCTCATTGAATTCTCAATTTATGCAAAGGACTCATTAAGAGACTGAAATAATGTTTTCATTTGTTAATGACAAACCCTTAATTTATTTTCTCTGTTAAGCCACTGCAAGTCTTTGGGTTCAGGATGACATAAAATACTTTATATGAAATAATCTGACTCATGACAATTTTATTCCCTGTAAATTGGATGGACACAAATTTTCTTAAACTGCAAATATTATTCTTGGTGTCATGAACTGTCATTGCTTCCTAAATCTTCAAAATTTGTTTCATTTAAATATATTGGCCAATGCTAGAGTTAATGATGATGAATACGATTAAGATTAAATTTTTAATAAACTGGATTGACTGTAGCCATGGGCAGAAACCAGCTATCTACATGATGGGATCTCTGTTGCTTGAAAAGTTTCCTGAATTATAAATATTTTTCTATTTGTTCTTAAGGTACCTAAAACTTGGTTTAAAATTATTTGTTTAAACCATTGGTATCATAAGGCCACATTAATATACCCATCAGGGAGGTGTTTTGAGGTAGTACTTTAATAGGTGTTATGTTTCTTAAGTTTTTTTTTTTTTTACAGTTTTTAATTTTATTATTTATTTATTTTTGTTTTCTCATTAAACTTTTTAAATGGGCCTCAAAATTCTGTGACAAATTTTTGGTCAAGTTGTTTCCATTAAAAAGTACTGATTTTAAAAACTGATAAAACTGCCGCAAGCAAAAAAGAAAACCAAAGGGGTCCACAAAACATTCTCCTTTCCTTCTGAAGGTTTTACGATGCATTGTTATCATTAACCAGGCTTTTACTACTAAACTTAAATGGCCAATTGAAACAAACAGTTCTGAGACCGTTCTTTCTCCACCACTGATTAAGACTGAGGTGGCAGGTATTAGGGATAATATTCATTTAGGCTTCTGAGCTTTCTGGGCAGACTTGGTGACCTTGCCAGCTCCAGCGGCCTTCTTGTCCACTGCTTTGATGACACCCACGGCGACTGTCTGTCTCATATCACGAACAGAAAAGCGACCGAGAGGTGGATAGTCTGAGAAGCTCTCAACACACATGGGCTAGCCAAGAACCATATCAACGACGGCAGCATCACCAGACTTCAAGAATTTAGGGCCATCTTCCAGCTTTTTACCAGAACGGCGATCAATCTTTTCATTCAGCTCAGCAAACTTGCAGGCAATGTGAGCTGTGTGGCAATCCAGTACGGGGGCATAGCCAGCCCTGATTTGGCCTGGATGGTTCAGGATAATCACCCGAGCAGTGAAGTCAGCTGCTTCCATTGGTGGGTTGTTCTTGCTGTCACCAGCAATGTTGCCACGATGAACATCCTTGACAGACACATTCTTGACATTGAAGCCCACATTGTCCCCAGGAAGAGCTTCACTCAAAGCTTCATGGTGCATTTCAACAGATTTCACTTCAGTTGTAACGTTGACTGGAGCAAAGGTGACCACCATACCAGGTTTGAGAACACCAGTCTCCACTCGGCCAACAGGAACGGTACCAATACCACCAATTTTATAGACATCCTGGAGAGGCAGGCGCAAGGGCTTGTTAGTTGGACGAGTTGGTGGTAGGATGCAGTCCGGAGACTCAAGCAGCAGGTTCCACTGGCATTGCCATCCTTATGGGTGACTTTCCAACCCTTGAACCAAGGCATGTTAGCACTTGGCTCCAGCATGCTGTCACCATTCCAACCAGAAATTGGCACAAATGCTACTGTGTCACGGTTGTAGCCAATTTTCTTAATGTAAGTGCTGACTTCCTTAACAATTTCCTCATATCTCTTCTGGCTGTAGGGTGGCTCAGTGGAATCCATTTTGTTAACACCAACAGTTAGTTGTTTCACACCTAGTGTGTAAGCCAGGAGGGCATGCTCTCGGGTCTGCCCGTTCTTGGAGATACCAGCTTCAAATTCACCAACACCAGCAGCGACAATCAGGACAGCACAGTCAGCCTGAGATGTCCCTGTAATCATGTTTTTTATGAAGTCTCTGTGTCCTGGGGCATCAATGATAGTCACGTAGTACTTGCTGGTCTTGAATTTCCACAAGGAGATATCAATGGCGATACCACGTTCATGCTCAGCTTTCAGCTTATCCAAGACCCAGTCATACTTGAAGAAGCCCTTTCCCATCTCAGCAGCCTCCTTTTCAAATCTTTCGAAGGTTCTTTTGTCCATGCCACTGCATTTGTAGATTAGATGGCCAGTAATGGTGGACTTGCCCGGATCTAGATGTCCAATGATAACAATGTTGATAAGAGTCTTTTCCTTTCCCATTTTGGCTTTTAGGGGTAGTTTTCACGATACCCATGTTCTGGCAGCAAACCCGTTGTGAAAAAGCAATTTTATTTTTTAAACTGACATGTTTCTTATAACCTTCTCACACCACACAGTGGTTTTATGCAAGTCAAGCGATATAAGAAACATGGAGGACTGCCTGAGCCTTAAGTGAGAGTCTCAGAGTTGCACCTAGAACCAAGGATAAAGGCTGTGTAATTACAGAAAAATCAGACCTCAAGGAGGCTGGACCTACTTCTAATTCTCTCCTGAGGTTGGCCTAGATAATAAACTATCAAGGAAGAAATAAAATAATAAATAATCATCTTTTCCTTTTTTGACTTTTTCATTTTGCTTTATTTGAGATACTGATAGCATAGTTGACCCAAATAGGAGGAAAATTCACTTGCATAAAAGAAAACATTTAAATTCTGTCAGAAACTTGGATAGCACCTAAGGGACCTGACAGGCTACAGGATCAGAAATCTTTATATTTCTACTAAGATTACATTTTAAATGTTTAAATTATATAGATGCAAAATCATTGAATAGCTGAAAGTTTAAGACAACAGATAGACCTAAGTCTTTGCAATTTATGAAACTGTATTATTATTTCATGTGTCTTATGGACATTTATTTGTTTCTACTAGGAAAATAGCTAAATTTTAATAACAAATATAATAGCAAAAAATCAATATCAATATATTTGAAATAGAAACTTTCTTTTCAATAAGACATCTTCATGTATTTATAAGATTTCAGGTCTGGATCAGGAGCTATGATTCTGATATAGGCCCATTGCTTCTAAATGGCTGCCATTTAACTAAAACATAGTAATTGTATCATTATTCATAATTTTTTAAATTTGTTGGTAATATTAATTTGTTTAATATTATTACTTCATGCAAAACCAACCAACCAATCAACACAATGGATATACTACCAAAGAGACACAAGTATTCTAATTCTTGAAGTGATCTTAAATGTGGGCTTTTTGCATATAGAGATTATAGATAGATTTGGGGATTCCAGGCTATTTGCAGGTTTCTTACTTAATCCCCCTTGAGCATAGGTGGAAATGTGTAGAGGCTTGAATGAAGGCCTTGTAGCTGAGGTACAGAGCAAATCTTGTTGGGAAGCAGCCTCTCTGAGCTAAATGACAAGTGTAGCAACCCCTAAGTTAGCATATCTGAGTGAAGAATCTGTGGAAAATCATCTGTTTGATATTCTGTGCCCTATTTAAAATTTAAAGTAATTTTGGGGGCTAGCAACCAGGAGCAAATGTCAAATATTCTCTCTTTGAGTGCACTTATTTAACCAATTTAGCTAGGTCTTTCTTCAACGGTGCTCTCAGAGACAGGACACTGGTACAGAAATATGTATGATTAGCTGGTAGTATGGCTGTTTCTCCGTAGTCCTTGCTCTATCTCTAAATAAAGGCTTTGGTCTTCAAACTGCCCAACCCAGCCTTATCCCCTAAGTAAAGAGAACTCAATAAATGTGGTCATGTAAAAGAATAATTTATGATGCTTGGAATTAAAAACAAATACCAAACCAAGGGTGGAATTAGGTCAAAACCAAGTTTGATATATAACAGGTTATAGGCATATGAAATACGATTGTAAATGATAAGCTTATGTATATTTAACTATGTTAATTATATTTATGTAAGGTATTTTTTCTTTTCAAACCAATGAATTGTCTCGATTCTTCAAGAGTAATGAGGAAATATTAATTAAATCTGATAATTACATTTTTCTTAGTGAATATATTTTAATAGAAAAGATGCGTATTTGAGGGGATATAACCTAATTTTAGAGGAGAGAGGTCAAAATAATCAAGATTTGATGGCGAGAGACAATTGGAATATATTTCTATTTTTGCTTCACAACATCTATTAGATGTATAAACGATTTTCTCTAACAAGTCTCCAGACACATGAAAACACATTTAAAAATTGTATTTTACTTCCTATTTTTCTGATTCCCAGCAGCAACTGAATAAAGTTCTAAGGGACCTGACTGAGGCTACAGGATCAGAAATCTTTATATTTCTACTAAAATTACATTTTAAATGGTTTCGTCAAAGCATAATATACACAAAAGTGCAAAGATCATAATTATACCACTTGATGAATTCTCAAAAATTTGACATATCTATTTGAATTAACACCAATATGGAAACAGCACATTACCTCACTCAGAATCTCCCTCATGTTTTCTTACAGTCATTATCCTTCTCTTCTGACTTCCAGCAGCATATATTAATTTTGTCTTGTATGTGCTTAAAAGAAGTGGAAGCTGGCTTATTTTGCTCATTATTTTTTTTCTTTTTTGAGATGGAGTCTCACTCTGTCATCCAGGCTGGAGTGCAGTGGCTCATTCTCGGCTCACTGCAACCTCTGACTCCCTAGTTCAAGTGATTCTCTTGCCTCAGCCTCCCGAGTAGCTGGGATTACAGGCACGCACCACCACACCTAATTTTTTTGTATTTTTAGTAGAGATGGGGTTTCACCACGTTGGCCGGGATGGTCTGGATCTCCTGACCTCATGATCCACCCTGCCTCGGCCTCCCAAAGTGCTGGGATTACAGGCGTGAGCCACCGTATCCAGTGTTATTTTGTTCAATATTATGTTTCACAATTAATTAATATTATTGCATGTAGTCATAAATTGTTCTCATTGCTGCATAGTATACCATTGTGTAAATATAACCCAATTTAAAAAAAATTACACATTGAAATTTCATATATAAAAAAACAGCCTTAAAATATACATCAATATCTATCTATCTATCTATCTATCTATCTATCTATCTATCTACCTATCTATCTACCTACCTACCTACCTACCTATGATGCTGTATAACTGAACAGAACACAGATACATAAATGTTTTAAAAGTTAATAATCTTATTTTTAAATGCCAAAGGGTTAGGGAGAAGCCACAAAAGAAATCTCTTCCAATTAATACCACATTGAAAAAATAGAAAAATTCAATACTCAACATCAATTAAGAACCCTTAATATCTGCACATGATCTGAAATCAGTTTTAAATGTGATGAGCCATATCAAGTTCTCTTTGGTAAGCAAATGAACAATGACATGGATGTCAGTGACATTGATAAGTATTAATTGATAATTAAGTTGATGATGATGGGGAAAAAAGTTAAGAATCATGAATTTGACCTCAGGAGAGGAAGCTCATCAAAATCAGATCATGTCTAAATTAGACATGTCCTTAAAATGAAAGGCAGTTTTGGTCTAGAAGAAGTCATAATAATTCAACTAATGACTACTAAAGTATTTTCAAATTACAGATCTCACTTGAATTTGGTTTATTGTATAGGGAAGGCTAATTTATAATTAGGAGTTGAATTTCCATTTTATGAATATGTTAAAATCCTTATATACCATTTTTACAATAATTTACAAAAGTTTCCCTAATAGTTTTGTTTAAAGCATTAATTTTCTAAACAAATATTTTGTTTTAATGCTGTGGTCACTAACTTAACTGGAGCTCTGAATTGTGAAATGTGAGAAATACCTTTGTCAGACCTCTTACATTTTCTCTAATATTTGATATTTGGAAAATTTTATGAAAGAAAACTTTTTTTTTGACCACCCGGAAGCACCATATGTGAAGTATTTTGGCTCAACTGAGAGTTCTGTGCCTATTTCTGCAGAATCTCTATTCATCTTCCACTTTTTATCTTGTCATACCTTGAACATATCCTGTTACCTTAATTGTCCTTGATGTTTCCTGCATTTATTCTACAGCATACTTCCATAAAGTTGTCCTTCCTCTATTATATTTTCACAGAGAAAATGAAAAATGACTCTCTGCCAGTAATCATCCACCTCATAACTATTAGAACAGAATCAAGAGTCTAAAGCATTTCCAAGAGCTCAGTGTCTTTATTATCACAAACACGCAACTGAAACTATAAATTCAGCAAATGCAGAGTTTATATTGATTCAATATTGCACTGAGGTTTCATGGCAATAGCATTGCCTCTCAAAAGACAGAAACAAATGTCCAATTGCATGTAAGCTAATAAAGAACTTAGTCAAATGGGGCACCTTTGCCATGTTAGGAAGGCTTCTGTATCCAGTGAAGCACAACAGTGCAGAGCAAAGAAAAGTAGTTGCATGGCCAGGGTCACTAGACTTTATCGATGGGACAGCCAATGCTTGAAGGAATTCTCAGGAGAAGTAGATCTTTTCTATGAATGAAACAAATATTCGATCCAATACTAGAAATCTACTATACATAAAATATTGTGGGCATTCCAAAAAAAAAAAAAAGTTAACCTCGTTCAAAGTTGCTTACAATGTGGTGAGGCTTGTATTTTGATGTGAGCTATAAATCGCAACAAAAATTTGATAAATACATAACAGTAAGAAAAAGACTTTCTAATTCTCAAAGCATAATGCCTTTGAACTTGAATTTTGAGATATGATCATGTCTGATGAGACTAATTTCTGCATTTTAATTATGGCATTTACTGGAAGTGCTCACTGAGAGTAGAGGACAAGGAAGCTCAAGTGTCTTTTGTAGAAGTGTGTCCAGAGCAAAAATTATATTGGCAGCAACAATCACTTAATGAAAGAAGAGAAATATGAAAAAAGATTTCAACTCGAAAGCTATTTTATAATCACAGGAAGCTTTAGATAATGGCCTGGCACTAAAATGGTCCCGGGAGTAGCTGCCAAGGGGAGTTATTGTTGTTCTTTGTTTAGTTTTCTTTGTCTGAAGCTCAGTTCCTGTGAAAAGAAGCCTTTGCTTTGGGGGTAGGGAAAAAAGATATCATAATCTCACCTCTGCCCAGGTTTAAAATATTTCTAGGAGAGGAACAGTGACTCTTGAATGCCTTTGCCTCAGCTTGAAGCTGCCACTAACGGCATAGCAAACACAAAGTACAAAAGATGTCTGTGTTGCCGGACCTGGGACTTTGGTAACATCCTGCTTCCAATTAGAAGAACAAGCTGAGCCATAGTACAACCAGGCAAGCTTGAGTCAGGTATTTGGAAGGAGAGAGAGTGAAAGAGAAGAGCCAAATCAGTAGGCGTATTGTCCTGAAGAAGTGGTCTGGCAGCTGGAGGGACCCTGTAGATTTAGCCAAGGAGTCATCATGAGCTGCCTTACCTGCTGCAGGTATATTCTGGCATTTATGCTCAAATGTCAGAATGAACTAAATTTCTCACCTGGGAAAAGTGCATTTTCTACCTGCATTCCTGATCCCATCCCCCACTTCCTCTGTCATCTTCTATCAATAACTTGCTGTTTCCTGCATCTTCATTTTGTCCAGTTTTCCTAGGTACTTTCTTTGGCCTTCACTTTCTCAAAAGATAAAATATAAATACTTATTTTATTCCCCACCTGACTGAATTATCCCAAGAGCAGGAGTCTAAGGCATTGGGAAAGGGCTGAAGTCCTGAGTGCCTGCATTAGTTACAGGTACTGAGGTGTGGAATTAAGTGAAGCATGGTGGGTGGACCTAATACAGGTTGATTATCCCTAATTCTAAAATCTCAAATTTGAAATGCTCTAAAATCAGAAACTTTTTGAGAACTGACATGTTCAAAGGAAATGCTCACTGCAGTATTTTAGATTTTGGATCCTTGGATTAGGGAATGTTTATGTATACTGCAGCTTCACAAAATTAAAAAAAAAAAATTGAAATCAGAAATATTTCTGCTCCCAAGCATTTTGAACAAGAAATACTCAATTTGTAAACAGGTCACACAAAATGGAAGAAGGTAATTTGAGGGATGAACCAAACCACATGCAGACTGCACCACATGCAGACAGCCACCAAGGCATAAAAACACAACAAGAGCAGAATAAAACAAAGATAAAATCCTCTGGAGCATGGGGTAGCAGGCCAAGCCTGGAGAGTTCTGACCTCCCGGCATTTATCCATAGCCACAATTTTTATGAAGATTGGTGATTGTTCATTCAGGGAATGTTTGAACTGTTATCACATTTCTGCCATTGCCCTTCACCACCAAACTAGCTACACAATTTACCAATAGTTCGTTTTTCTATTTCTGATCACATAGCCTGTAAACATTTACTTCTCCTTTGAGATTGTGTTCTTCAATGTCATTAGTAACTCCATAATAGCCAAATTCAGTGATTCTTTTTTAGCCTTCATGCCTCTTAAATTTCTGCAACATTCAGTTGTAGTTATGTTACCCCTTTTCTCAAATCTCACCCTTACTACTTTGGCTTCCATCTTTCTCTCTGTTCACTTACAGAAAATCTTCACCAAGTGACAAAAAGAAAGCAGAAAAAGGGCACACATTCATGAGCTTGCGTTATGACCTGAAATGATTAATCCATATTCTTTTTTTTTTTTTTTTTTTTTTTTGAGATGGAGTTTCACTCATGTTACCCAGGCTGGAGTGCAATGGCGCGATCTCGGCTCACCGCAACCTCCGCCTCCTGGGTTCAGGCAATTCTCCTGCCTCAGCCTCCTGAGTAGCTGGGATTACAGGCACGCGCCACCATGCCCAGCTAATTTTTTGTATTTTTAGTAGAGACGGGGTTTCACCATGTTGACCAGGATGGTCTCGATCTCTTGACCTCGTGATCCACCCGCCTCGGCCTCCCAAAGTGCTGGGATTACAGGCTTGAGCCACCGCGCCTTACAGGTTTCATTGAATCGCTCTGGCTGCGCTGCTGAGAATAACTATAGGAAGCCAACAACCTCGTTAGGAAGACCTCGCAGTACGACAGACTAGTGTTCACAGTAGCTCTGACAAAGATTCTATCAGTAAAAGTACAGAGAGGTGGTCAAATCCTGGACATACACTGAAGGGAGAGCCACAAGATATTGTGGGCTCTCTCACACGTAGGGTGTGAGGGGAAGAGAGGAGCCAGGCCATTCTGAGACGTTAGGGGCAGACAACTGTAAGGAGAGTCTTGCCACCAAATATGATGGGAGCAGATAAGGAACAAAAAGGTTTAGGGGGAAGATCGGAAGTTCAGGTTTTGATATTTGAAGTCTGAAGCATTTATGGAGACAACCCAACAGAGATATTAAGTAGGCAGTGAAATATATAAATCTGGATGTCAGAGAGAAGTCTAGGCTGGAAATTGAAATTTGGGATTCATTGGCATTTCAGATGGACACATGAGCCAGACAGCAAATGTCAGCACAGCAAGGTCTTGGAAACATTATTTCAGATTCAGAGTCAATGAATATTTGTTAAGCACCTACCACATGCCAAGCTCTATGCTAGGTACCTTCAAATATTTTTTTTTCACCCTTACACAAACCCATGATGAAGTTTTACATAAGAAAAGACATAATGAAGAAAGTGAGTGTTGAAAAAGTGGACAAGCTTTTCTAAAGTAGCAGAATTAGCATGTTATGAAGCAAAGCTTCTAACTATTGCTTGCTTCATCTCCTCATTTTTATCGCTCTAGGGGCATCTACATTTGCTTATCCTCATAGGCCTCATAAATCCTGGGTATCTGACACTAGGATACTTGTGTC